AGACTGGTGATTGACATAATATTTGTTTTAATTTTCTAAATTGTTGTTCGTGTTGATCTAACCATTGCCATTTAATATGTTTTTTGAGCAATTCTCTCAGAAGAGAAGTTTCTTCTGCGAGGTTTGGTATGTAAGATCCTAAATAATTAATCATACCTAAAAATCTTTGTAGTTCCTTGACATTAGTTGGATTAGACATTTTATAAATTGCTTCGACTTTAGACTGATCAGGTGATACACCTTCTTTGTTAAAAATATGATCGACATAGCAAATTTCAGACATACCAAATTGTCATTTTGACTTATTAAACTTTAGGTTGACTTCGGAAGCACGTTTAAATAAAGCTTCGAGTCTTTCATTATGCTCCTGGACAGTAGACCCTTAAATGAGTACATCATCGACAAAGATAATTATACCAGGCAAGTCTCCGAACAATTTATTCATGGTCCTATGGAAAATTTCACCAGATGAGTTAATACCATATGGCAGTCTAAGAAATTTGTACCTACCATAAGGAGTGTTGAAAGTACAGAGGTCACTACTCTCTTCGTCTAAACATATAGTCCAATAACCTGAAGAAGCATCTAGTTTAGAAAAAATTGACGCGCCTGCTACTTTAGATCTAAGGTCGTCAAATGTTGGATATGGATAGTATGGTCGTTTTATGGCCTCATTTAAATTCCTAGGATCAAGACAAATTCTCAATTTACCATTCGGCTTTTCGACTAAAACAATTGAGTTTACCCATTTAGTAGGTTTTTCTACTTTTTCTATGACTTTTAGTTCCTCCGTGTTTTTAAGTTCCTCTTTGAGACGTTTTTCCAAAGAATATGGTATTCTACGTATCGGACAGACCTTTGGTGGGACGCTACTATCAATGTCTAGATGTGCCCTGTATGGTAGACAACCAAGACCCTCGAATGTTTTAGCATATTTAGAAACAATTTGTTGTACTGTACTTACTACCGTACTACTGTTGTACCTTTCTTGGATTCCAAATATTCTTTTTACAATACCCAGATTTTCGCATGAATTCCAGCCAATTATTGTTTTACAATCGCATTCAACAACAACAAAGTGCAATTTTGTGGTTATTCCATTTTCAAATACACAATTTAATACACATGGCCCTAAATTTGGCACTAATTCTCCTGAAAGAGAAAACAGTTTATTATTTGTCCTTGAAATATTAATTTTAGAGTGAGAACAAGTCATAATTTTATCTAATGTTTTCTTACTTATGACATTTGTATCTGCTCCTGTATCGATTTGACATTTGAGCTTATAATTATTACAGTAAATATTAATTTGCCAATCATCTGTTTTACATTTAGTATTTTGAATAGAATTGATTACAAAACGATCGGTTTCTGACTTTTCATATGATATATTACTCACTTTATGACTGTTCGACTTATCCTTTCTGAAAAAGCAATAGTAAGCAAAATGTCCGGTCTTCTTACAAATTTTGCACACTTTGTCCTGCGCTGGGCATTATATATATATATTTATGTATCTGGCCACATCTTGTACAATTTCTTGTGCTTGACTTACTCCTAGTCCGTGTCGACTGGTTACGGTAGTTCTGTCTTTGATTTGATCTTGAGCGATCTGGTATTTTCGATCTTGACCTTGACTTGTATCGCTGTGGTTGCTCTTTAACTCCCTGCACCATTTCGTTTTTTGTATCCTGTCTCATCAATTTGCTAGAACGTTCCTGAGATAGCTCGAGGCTTTTTGCAATCTTCATAGTGGATTCAACGGTCAGGCCTTCCTCTTGTAGTAATCTTTCTTTAATATATGTATTTTTATACCTATGATGAGCATGTCCTTTATCAACGATTGTTTTAAATTTCCAAAGTCACATGTGGTTGCTAAATTATTAATAATTGTTAAATATTCATCCAGGGATTCGTCAGGTTTTTGCATTCTAGTAAAAAAATTATATCTTTCCACAGTAATATTAGTGTGAGGGCTGAATTTTTCGTCAAATTTTTTCAACACGTCTTCTAATTTGGTTTGCGTTCTGTCAAGATTAAAACTGTTAAAAATTTCGATTCCGTCGTCTCCTATGGCATTAAGAAATATTGCTACCTGTTTTGATTCGGGAAATTTTGCAATTTCATTAGCATCCCTAAATATTTCAAAACGAAGTTTCCATTTTTTCCATATCTCGGCTGCGTTTTCGCCATTTTGTACGCTTAGCGGTTTCAAGGAGACAATGAACGCTTTGTCCGCCATGACAGAGTTGACTTTAATAGCAGAGATTCGACTTACTTGGGACTTTTCCACGCCTATTTTATTTGAAATTTTCTGCACTTATGACACCATCTTTTGGGTTCGTTATGTAGCTTCTTGAATGAAAGATTATTGGGGCGTTGTTAATATTTTTATTGCACACTCACATGTTAACAGCTTACAGCAATGGTGGATACCGGGGAAGAGAACGAGCGGCCCTCGACATAGACAATAATAATTTATTTTAACCATAGACTACAACAAGTGCATCCGCCCGTATGGTCCCTGATGATTTTTTTCTAGTAAATTTTCTTTAGATCATAATTCGAAGTTTCGCGAAAATAATATAATTATACAATGGTCATGATATTGCTCAATCCTGTTAACGATTTTTTTTTCTATCGCTATGCCCCTATTGCTGCTGCTGCACACTCGCTCGGCTCGCGCTTCATGATCATAATATTAACCTGACCTAACTAAGTGTGAACCCAAGAACCCAAAAACCAAGGAATATTTATAATAAGCCAACGATTCCTTTCGCAATCTTTCTGAGGCAACACGAGTTTTGGCATAAATCCTATCTATTTTAGTAAGACCCAATCTTACTTTCCTTCTTAATTCCATCGTCAATGTCCAACTATCCGCGTTTTCGCAAAATCCCCAGGATTTTCCCAAAAAATCAATTTATCAAATCTTCCTACGACATGTACAACTGGAGCGAAGTTTTTCACGTATCCAGAAATAACTATTTCTCTGGCAGAGTGTGATTAATGGCCCTTGTTAAGGACAGGGTTTTGCGGCTTAAACCGTGTCTACGTCCGGTCCGGTATAGGACACTGGAGGTTGAACGGCCACGGTTTAAAGTCGGTACAAACGTCCAAACCGTGCTCGTGAACAAGCTTGGCCGGCCAGGGTCATTAAGGATTAATAACAGGCGCACTAAGGATTTTTAGGTGTGTCAAAAACATGGACATCCCTAAATATAAGAAGTGTTATGCAAGATCTAATGACACTTTATTCCATAGTAAGGCGTGAAAAACTACTTACCTTAAAAATGTTTTAATATGTTGCCAAATTCTAATTATTTTTTAATTGTATTTTATTACAACTTTTTAGTACTGACTGTGGAATCCTCATAAAGTTTTTAATCTATCCAGACAAATTAGATTACAACTGAAATTAATTAAAGGGATTATACTTATAACATCTCGCGAGCATTATAATTAACTGGTAGGAAATATACAATTCGGATTAAAAAAATATAAATATTATATTAAAATACTTCAGAATATTTTGGTTTTAATTTCTTCTGACGAAGTTTGGTAATTTGGTGTAAGGTAATATAAACGGGACTTTGGAGGACATAAGGATTACTGTAGGCGTATAAATTAACTTTGTCCTGGTGTACACACCTTGGCTTGACGTAGTACACATAGGCATGATTGAATTTGAAAGTGCGATTGGATACATTAAAATTGCAAAATGTTTTTTTTTTGAGGTCAACGTCAACGAAACAGAGTCATCTACAGATATAACTAAAAAAAAAAAATTTCATATTATAATAATTTCAATGATCTTGTAGAACACGTGTCATATGTAATGTTATAATATAATCATTGGTCATAGTTGTAACGATTACCTCAGACTAATTTCTTCTAGTTCCAATTAAACGAATAAAAATGTTAAATAAAGCAGTTATATGTGTAATACCAGGCCACTCAGAAACTTTTGCAAAAAAGAGTTTTTATGTATAAGACACTGGCCACTTGCAATTATTTTGAAATCTTCGATTATTTAAAGGTTAAAAATACAACTGTTCTATTTTAAAATTTCCCTCCGCTTTTTTCGAGTACCAATTAAATTTTTCTTACCTCATTAAAAAATGGATCTGCATAGAGAACATTTTCGTGCTATTATTTTTTACGATTTTAAATGTGGCTTTAAACATGATGAGTCATTTGATCAATTTAGAACTGCTTTTATGGATGAAGAACCTTCAAAAGCAACCATCTTACCGCTGATGTAGCGAGTTCAAACGCGGTCGTCTTACTTTGGGGGATGAAAAAAGGAGTGGTCGTCCTACGACGGCTGTCACCGAAGAAAGTATGCTGGCAGTAAAAAAAATAATTTAAGAAAACAGATGAATTACACACAAAGTGATTCAGCATACTCTGCAGATTGGTTCAGGAAGTGTTCACAAGATTTTGCACGAGCACCTTAGCGTAAGGAAGAATAGTTTCCCGCTGGGTGCCGCACAATCTCACCGAAGCTCGGAAGCAGGCCCATGTGGATTGGTGCAGTGATATGATACAAACATTTGATGCAGGCTCGTCACGGCGCGTTTACGATATTGTGACAGATAACGAATCCTGGATTTATCAATACGATCCAGAAACAAAGCGTCAGTCGACAGTTCGGCTGTTTCAAAATGAACCAACACCTACGAAAGTTAAGCGATCGAGGAGCGCAGGGAAAATATTGATCGCTAGTTTCTTCACTTTGACGGGGTACCTAATTTCAATTCCACTTCGAGACCAAAGCAGCATCAACGCCGAATGAGCAACAAGCGACCTAACACCGGGCTCTCCGGGGTCCTTCTTCACCACGACAACGCGCACTCTGCGATCAAAACAAAGGACTTCCTGGACTCCACACCAGTCAGAGTCTTGGGACACCCTCCTCACAGTCCTGATTTGGGTCCGCGTGACTTCTTTTTATTCCCTAAAATAAAAATCAGCTCAAAGGGCTACAGTTTTCATCGCCGGAAGAAGCGCTAGCAGCGTTTGGAAAAATATGATAAACTATATCGCGTTCATTGCTAGTTCATTGCGCTCTCTACAATAAATCTGTGGTTAACGCACCAAAATAAATGTTATGTTTTTGTTAATGAAAAGTTAATTGAGCTTGTGTTCATATTTTTCGTAGGCTGATTTGATTAATCGAATTTTCGCGAAAATCCAATTTACGAAAACGCTGATAGACAATAGCTGTGACATTGCTCGCGAAAATTCGATACACCAAAGAATCTTACAAAATATATATAGACCTCTTTCTGCGAAGCAGTTATAGGAAAGTTAAGGGCTGTGGGCACATTAGTGGTTCACTTTCGAGTGATACTAAAAAAACAAGTACATCTTAATATTACATTTATTATCACACTTACGAAAGATACAACACATATCACGATGGCACTAGCGGTCAGTGCTTCGGCTGAAAAGTCCTATCGTTTCTCTTGAGACGGAACTATATGAAACGACTTATTCACTTAGCCCTAATGTTTCTCTTGGCAGAATAAATAGAGACAATGAGTATATTTTTTTTTCAATATTGACAACTAAAACTTTATCAATGATGTTAAATACATACTTAAAATAAGAGCCAAATAATCTCACGAGTCAATTTATCAAAAGTAATAAGATATGTTCATTTTCCGAATATGAACTTTACTCTTTCAGCTTTTCCTTTTCTTTTATATAAATGGCGTCTTATATGCGAATCTGCACTAAGTAATCGTAACAAATATTTACTACTAATATGTACATTAAAGTCAGAAATAACTTCTGGAGTTGGTAAAATGGACACTTAAAACAAAGAGGCGTACAATAATGATGAAAAAAAAGAAACCTGCAGAATATTCCTAATTCGTTATCAAATTATTGTAAACTAATGAGAATAATAAGTAGTAAGTAGTAAGTAATTAGTATATTTTACAAACAACTACGACAATTTGGGGGAGTGAATTGACTAAAAATGTTGAACGTAAACCGTACAAAGCGAACGCAATAATGCAAAATGGTATTTCTGTTTTATAAGTAATATATCAACAGTATTGTTCAGAAAAATGGAATTTGGGTAAGGATTACCTACTTTGGGAAAGTGAAATTAGGGGGTGGTAACCATGGAATATTAAGGGAAAAATATCGTATTTTATATTTTAGAATACTGTTGTTGTTCTTTTGAGATACTTATAAAGAAGCTACTTTAGGGAGGAATGATTGTGGGAAAGGAACATTATGGAAAGGAAAATATTGGAAAGGTACATCTTGGAAAGGAACATTATGGGCGACATTATAAATCTGTTTGAAGTGCATTGCTATTCTGTTTCAGGGAGAGGGCTATTTTGGAAAAGAGGTCAATATATAGGATAAGGGTACAAGGTACTTCATGGATCCCTTTCCTTTGCATTACATAGAAATATGCATTCTAGGAAATGATAGTTTGGGAAAGGAACATTTTAGGCCTAAGGAACTAAATAAACACGGGGAACATTATGGAAAGATACATTATGAATCTTTATTAGGGTTGTTCTTTGTATAGGATAGGATAATTTTGGAGGAAAGAGGGAGGAGAGGAAATGCCATGAATTCGTTTCTTTTATATTGCATAAAAAGGAAGATTTGATTTGATTAGAATGGGTGGATGGTAAAGGGGGAAGATTATTGGGAGAGGATACCGTTTGCATTGCTGTTCTCTTGCTTCGGTTTATGCGTATCTAGACTTATTTAGGGTAGCGCGCGCCACGTGCGGGCCTAACAGGTTTCCCGGCGGCGCCGGCAGCGCGCCTCCTCGCGAACAACGCATCGAGCCCGCGCAGGGGCGGTGCCGGCGTCGTCTCCACTGCGGCCTCTTCCGTCTCTGTCTCACTCTTCTCTCCACTACTGGTGCTCTCCTCGGTAGTCTCCGTTACTTTCTTCGTGGCTTCGGTCGATGCCTAAATAAAGTACACAATATTTACTATAAGGTCAAATAAACTAGCAATTAATAATTTCTTAAGCGAGAATTGTAATTTATGATAATCGTAGCATCCAATGCGAATCGCAAAGAGGAGTCACTGTTGAGTACCTATTTCATTTTCGTCTGTATTTTGATTCTGAGGATAGAGGGTTCAGGATAAATGGGTGTTCATAGGGTATAGCTATGGAAAGTATTTTTTGTGTGTATGCACACTCCACATGGAAATGACACCAGGATTAGTCTTCAGCACTTTATAAGGCATAACTTCTCAATATGGTTCCGTTTTCTTTTGATAATGGGAACGAGATATATTATGATATTATAAAATATGTCGCTGTCGCCCCTTACTAAATTCTTAATATGTTAATTAGCAACCTCAGTGGTAGGCTGTTTCCTCTTTAGCAGCGGGTTGGGGCGGCGCAGAGGCGTCGTCGCTGCCACCTTGGGCTTTGGAGAGGGAGACACCTGCAGCCTGTTTCTTAGCCTCAGTCGAGGGTTGGACTCTGGCGCTGGCGTTGGTGACGAACCCTGACACAAGTTACACATTAATTATTTATGGGATAAATAATATATACGAATAAATTCATCAAAATTACTTACAAGAATAGGCTTTTGAATTAAAGCAGTAATTTTTAACGTGTATTTTGTAATTACTATTGCGATTCATTTAGAAAGATAAATAAATTAAAACAGTATCGTGTCTATAATTATGCCTACATCGTGTACAATGCACTTATCATTACACGATTGATTAATGTGCGATAGAGTTGTCAAATCCGTGCGGCATTATAGCATACACTTTACTGCACAGTAAAGGCCCTCTGCCCTGCATCGAAACTAGCACGATGTATTACTTGAACTAATTTGTCTATACATAAAGAGACAAAGTAGTTTTATGTATATCCGCTAACTCTTCAAAAACCACGCAATGGATAATGATAAATACATATTACATGAAAAATTGATGTGTCGGTATAATACAAACCCGAGAGTAAAAACATCTTAATCTCATAATCTGCACTGAAGCGAAGCTAGGCCGGGGTATACCTTAAAATATTGAATTATTTCCAGTCTCTTCTAGAACTCTTGCTCGGGTAGACTAATTTTCGATTCATGCCCGAGAGTACAAAAATGATATATTTTTTCCATATTATGACCCGTGTCACAGGGAGGAATCATCATCGTCAGCCTATTAATGTCCCCACTGTTCGGGCACAGGTCTTCCCTAAGAACCACCACGCGAGCCCAGTGCGGATTTCTGGGTGCTAACGACTGCAGATGCAGCCGGGACCAACATCTTAACGTGCTTTCCGAAGCACGGAGGAGCTCCAGGTGGTTGTTTTAATTTTTGGTCACCCATTCAATTATTGACCACTGCGAAAGTTGCTTAACTTCAACGATCGCAGCCGAACGCGCTAATCAATTGCGCTATTGAGCTCCATCCTCGGCAGGATGGAGGGATAATAAGTGCAATGGTTCATTCAATCAGCGTTGGAATAATTCGTGTAGGTTAGTTTGAAATCCTTGCCTTGTGAGTGCTTCGAATTTAATACTATACTACTGATTATTGCGCTTACCTCGGTTTCACCGTTAGGGAGGGGAAGCAAGCTGGGGCGCAAGTTCACCCGGGTGCTGGATCGGAGCGAAGCTGGCCTTCAACCGGGTCTAGCGTGATTATTGAGCTTATCTCGGCTTTCGGCGGAGAGTGTTTCGAGAGGGGATGTCTCCGCGGGTGCTTCGAAGGCTGCTTCAGTGAAGACGGCGAAGACACAGGGGCGGGGCCGCGTGCCGGGGCTCAAGTCTAACCGGATGCCAGGCCGGAGTGAAGCTGGCCTCAAACCGGGTCTAGCATGATTATTAAGCTTACCTCGGCTTCCCCGTCGGTGGAGGATGCTTCGGGAGTGGATGTCTCCGCGGGTGCTTCGGAGACTGCTTCAGTGGGGGCGGCGGAGACACCAGGGCGGGACCGCTGGCCGGGGCGCAAGTTCAGCCGGGTGCCGGGCCGGAGTGAAGCTGGTCTCAAACCGGGTCTAGCGTGATTATTGAGCTTACCTCGGCTTCCCCGTCGGTGGAGGATGCTTCGGGAGGGGATGTCTCCGCGGGTGCTTCGGAGACTGCTTCAGTGGGGGCGGCGGAGACACCGGGGCGGGGCCGCGGGCCGGGGCGCAAGTTCAGCCGGGCGCCGGGCCGGAGCGAAGCTGGCCTCAAACCGGGTCTAGCGCGACTGCCAATAAACCAAGTCAGATATTATTTTTGTTAACAATATGTTCAGAGCGTATAATTAGACAATGTTATAAAAAAATAACTAATTAAAATAGTTGAAGATAACACTATGTAAACTGATTTGTTAAATATTTTTCTATAGACAAGGTCAAACAAGTTTAGTAGTGCTTAACTATTATTTGTAATAGTTTAGAGCAGTGGTTCTTAACCTTTCAGTGACGAGGGTCAATTTGTGAAAAGGAGATTGCTCAGCTTCTATACATGTTAGGCCTAAAGACCAATAATCATGAAAAATTGTTTCCTAGAATCGAAATTATATATATAAATTACTATAGAAACGAATATTATTGACGGACACCCCAGAGAACTTCTATAAACCTTGTACACAGAACATATTAAAATAATAAAAAACAAATAAGTTACATAGTAAACTAGAGAAATCAAGCCAAGTACCGAAATTATGGATTAGATTCAGCTATATAGAGCATGTAGATTAACAGATAGTTGCCTGTTTTTAAAGTTAATGCATAGGAGTAACTTGTAAAATCAGGTTTCATCTATGCATTTCCGGTTATAATAAGGTACTCTGTGACAGAAACTGTGTGATGATTGTGAATGAGCCACAGATTAGAGAGAATTTTTAAACTCTCGTTAACGAAAGAAAGCTAAGAGATTTAGTTAATACAGCCATATATTCAGTATCTTCATTATTTTTGTTATGTTTTTAATATAACCATATCTTAGATTTTTAGTGTATAGCCTTATAATTTTACTTATTTATTAATTTATAGTCAGGCAACGTAGGCCCATAGATAGATACCTTAAAGTCTAACATATAATACAGATTATAATGTGTTTGTGGAGGTGTTTGGCGAAAAATGTATGGCAATAGACTTTATGATGTGGCCTACCATCTATAATAATTATCTGAGCACATTTGCATGTAGTAAAAATGATAACATAGTTGGGTATATTAATACCTTAGTGTAATAAAAAAAATGATTTATTTTATCGATCTTAACAAATTAGTTTTATTTTTATGTTTTGAACAACTTCGATCAGTCTTTGGCTGAATGTTACTAAACCCATAGCCATTAAAAATGTTACGTATGTTTTCCAAACCGGTAAAATTAAAAGTCCTTTTTAAAGTAAATATATTATACAGAGGTGTCCGTTGAAATCTAATGACTGTAAATAAATTATAAATTACGCCAAGAATTACCGTGTATGTCAATATTTTTTGTGCGTTTGGACCAATTTGAGCAATCTCCTTTCTGCCTTACCACGGACCACCACTTACCTACAACTATTAAATCTATCAGCGTTCACTTATGTATGTAATATTTTTTGAAATTGCTGCGCGGCCAGTGGTCCGACTGCTTTAGATCATGAAGTAATTAACTGAACAAAATGCATTCGCCCGGATTGCGATATGCACTACTTCGGATCCAGAATAGTAATAGCAGACTTGATTTTTTTTCCAGTAAAAAATATTTCTTTAGATATAAAATCCAGTTATAATTTTTATAGCTAAGTAAATTTATAATGATGCTCTATAGCTATCAATATTCAGCTTAAAGACAAAGAATGGACATATCTGTGTATCGATGTTTTTTCTCTTTAGGAAGAGAGAAAGGGTGTCAATTCTGGCATGATTCTCTTAACCTAAACTTAAAGGAGATTGCTCAGCTTCCATACATGTTTGGCCTAAAGACCAATAATTATGAAAAATTGATTCCTAGATTCGAAATTATATATAAATTACTGTAGAAACGAATATTATTGACGGATACCCCTGAGAACTTCTATAAACCATATACACTGAACATATTAAAATAATAAAAAACAAATAATTATATAGTAAACTAGGGAAATCAAGCCAAGTACCGAAATTATGGATTAGATTCAGGTATATAAAGCATGTAGATTAAAAGATAGTTGCCTGTTTTTAAAGTTAATGCATAAGAGTAACTTTTAAAATCAGATGTCATTTCCGGTTATAATAAGATACTCTGTGACGGAAACTGTGATAATTGTGAATGAGCCACAGATTAGAGAGAATTTTTAAACTCTCGTTAACCAAAGAAAACTAAGAAATTTAGGTTCTATAGCCATATTTTCAGTAGCTTCATTATTTTTGTTATGTTTTTAAGATAACCATATTTTAGATTTTTAGTGTATCACACCTTATAATTTTATTTATTTATTAATTTATAGTCAGGGAACGTAGGCCCATAGATAGATACCTTAAAGTCTAACATATATACAGATTATAATGTGTTTATGGAGGTGTTTGGCGAAAAATGTATGGCAATAGACTTTATGATGTCGCCTACCATCTATAATAATTGTCTGAGCACATTTGCATCTAGTGAAAATGATAATATAGTTGTGGATACTAATACCACAGTGTAATAAAAAAAAAAATTTCATCGATCTTTACAAAATACATTTGTTTTTATGTTATATTAACAACTTCGATCAGTCTTTGGCTGAATGTTACTACACCCATAGCCATTAAAAATGATTCGCATTTTTTCCATACTGGTAAAATTAAAAGTCCTTTTTAAAGTAAATATATTATACAAAGGTGTCCGTTGAAATCTAATGGCTGTAAATTAAATTATAAATTACGCCAAGAATTACCGTGTATGTCAATATTTTTTGTGCATTTAGGCCAATTTGAGCAATCTCCTTTGACAACAGTGATGTCGATTCTGGCATGATTCTCTAAAGCTAAACTTAAATTTGACAACAGTGCATCCCTGTCATTCTCTATACAGATAGAAAAGGAGAGACTAATGTTAAATTTAGTTTTAAATTTAGAGAATCACGCTAGAATCGACACCAGTGTATCCCTGTCGTTCTCTATACAGAATGAAAAGGAGAGACCAATATACAGATGAACTATGAATCGCACGATCGCTCCGTTTTTAAGCTTATCTGAGAATTTTACTTTATATATGGTAATATGGCAAATATTTTTGTGATGGTGACGTATACGAGCATTTGTACCTAAATCATGGATGTTTATATATATTCCTAGATAAATATACTTTATAATTATGTATCAGTATTATGTATTCTATCCGTTACACTAGTATCCCCTAACACTAGCCTTACAGTGCTTATTTTTGCGCTAGGCTAATTGGTATGAGTGTTAGGTTAGAAATATTTATTACTAACTGACCCGGCGAACTTCGTATCGCCTAACAGTCGATGAATGTGGTTAATTTGAGGAAAAAGGTTATAGTGAGTTAAACTTCAAAGGTGGACATATGCTGTCGCGGACTTTTTTGTAAAACTTCTAAAAGGGAATAACTTTTAAAGTTACAAAAAAATGCATATACAATTTTTCTATAACTTCAACCATTTACTCAAAGGCAATCTCTCAATTGGAATATTCTAAATCGCGTTTTAAATTTTTCTAAATTTTACCAGTTGTTCCTGAGACTAACAAAGCAACTCTCTAGCTCTATTACATATATTAAAGTATTATAGATATTCATGGTTCAGCTATATTCGTAATTTCGTACCCAATGGTCCTAGATGGCGCTGGTGTAGTTTCCACAGAATCTTCGGACACAGCACTCGGCGAAGAATCCTCTGCAGCGGGCGCTGCCGTGGTCGTGGTGGTAGTCCTCCTTAATGTGGGGCGAAGACGAGGCCTGCTGAATAAGTACGACGTCAAACTCCAATGAAATTTGTTTCTGCATCATGCTCATTTACCATGGTCTTTTACAATTTTTGTGCAAAAGTGGTTGTTTCAAATTCAATGTTCTGTTATTTATTGGGTAGGTATGATGATTTTTATACATTAGGTACGTACGTCTTTCTTTTGTATAAATATCGTCTAACATAAATTAGAGGACAATTATGAAATCTATACATCGTGAATTTTGAGTTAACTGAGAAACTATAGGTACTGTAACGCCCGTAAGGTTACGGTCTCCTTGCTTGTGTAAACTCTTTGCTTATAATGCTTACGGCTGGCAGTTGTATTAAAAGTAAATATAATTATTTTAAATATTCGAACGTTGCTTTTTATCTCACATCGACCATTCTAGAGATTGAATTCAGGCACAGACTCGGGCGGTTGAATATTAATTATCTTTAATTATGTATATTTCTGAGTTTAAATAAACCAAGTGAAAAGTCCCAATTGTTATTATTTTATTACCATTTGATTCATACCCCCTGGATCTCCCATCAGGAGGTCCCTTCAGCTCTTCAGACAACAATTTAGTTTATATTGCCAAAAAACTCTTTTTTCTTTAATATTTTTTTTTTCAAGAAATGTCTCCTCGCTAACTCTTTAATTGTGCAATTATGAAACCTTAACAATTATAAATGTCAAAAATTGGTTTAAATAAATCTATCGTTAGGATCTTGTACTTAAAATGGATAACAATACCAAAATAGGTAGGTTATTTATAATTTGCGCCATTTTTGAAATATTTTGTAAACGATAAAAATCATCATTTTTGTATGGGGGTGTGTATAACTCTAAATTCAAGGTGTATAAGATACGATATTATTAGTATATAGAAATGGAAAATAGAAATGGAGCATACCATCCCCCTAAAGCCTTTTTGTCCACCGTGGCTGACACTCGTTTTCGGTGACGGTTGGAACAAACGGTTCTAACGGGAATACGGGACAAACGGTCAGGTGTAAATATTTGATTATCGCGTTTACCCCGATCCCCACGAAGGTCTGAAAATTTTACTCACTGCAGGAATACAAGAGTTTTATAATCATCAGCCTTTTACATGTCTCCACTAATGGGGCACAGGCCTGCCTAATGTATGGAATTGGGAATGAGGAACATGAGCACCACGCGCGCCAAAAGCCCTCTGGAGGGTGCTAAACAATGCAGATTTAGCTAGGACCAACGACAAGACGTGCCTTCTGAAGCAAGTACGAGCACGAGATACGAGTAACACATTTTGGTTAACCTTCATATTGCGAAACTTGTCCGATCCACGTTGATGTCGAGCTTCTGACAACACTTTAGGATATTCTTATTTCTTAAATATACTTTTATTAAAAACTAGCGGTCACCCGCGACTTCGTCGACGTTAACTTAAAATTTTTGAGATGCACACTTGAACCTATAATTTTTCCAACTAGGTCATCAATTATACGTGTACCCAAACTCTCGTTCAAATCCATTCAGTAGTTTTTGCGTGATTGAGTAACAAACATACAAACTTTCACACTTATAATATTACTAGGACTAGGATGTGGACTGTTACCTAGGTGCTGGCGTTTCGCTAGGTGCAGCGTTGCTGTCTTCTTGCGCGGGCGCAGCGGTGGAGCTCGGACGGGTGCGAGCCGCGTACAAGCCACGACGACCGAATGAAGGCTGCGTACAAAACCGCTAGTTATATAGGAACCAAGTTTTCTAAATTTCTGATTTTCTTTTGGAAATTTACAGGTCTCATAAATAAAACACAGGCTCTTACTACTTAGGTATATACAGGTTGTCCCAAAACTTTGCCACATGGAGGAGTTGTACTGTAAATACTGTTGATAGAAATTTTTGTTGAAGCAAAACTAAGACAAGAAAAAAAACGGGAATTTTACTGTTCCGATTTAAGTATCAACAATTTAATTTTGATTAAATTATTGATATCTCAATAAATTTTAATCATTTATTGTACATATTTACACCTCGACGTGGCTTTCGGATTATTGTTAATTTATTATTAAATGTGACGGAAGTTGACTTCAATAAGTCGTCGTCAATAGTCATCATCAACCTCAAGTACTGACTGTTTTTACTATGACTGTTCAAAGTTAAAAAAGGTCCACAATATATTTGTAATCATTAATTTATTGTACACTTCATTTGTTTTACAGGTCGTCGATTGTTTACCAAACTGTTACATAGTTATAGTGGTTAAACATTCTCTGTATCCAAATAACGTCCCGTTAGCACTGATTAATAATACACTTATTAGTACGCTGAATGGACAACTTTTGTCTTTACATAATAAAAAAAAACGTTATCAACAAGAAATCTTCTGTAAAAAAGGGGCGCAAAGCGTGAACGTGGTACTTTCTAATACACATGTTGTATGTTAACGTTTTGACAGTGAGTTAATTAATACAAGAAAAAATAATCGCATTGCAAATAAGTTCGCTCGCTGAAGCACATCGATCGGTCGCGGGAACTTACACTAAGTCTAGATAGTAAGTAAATACTTACAAAATGGCAGTTTTCTAAAAGAATGAATGAATGTTTAAGACTAAACCATAACATCTATTTTGCATAATACAGAGATATGCGGTTCCACAACTTTTATAGATTGAAAGGAAATTGAAAAGGATTAACGGTGTTGATAACGAGCAAAACAGAAAACTTTCATTGAGACTTTAATTATAAACTACAGGTTTTGTTTTTATAACGATTGTTTTTACGACGAAAGGGTGATAATACAGGATTAAACTACGTTGCTGAACATTTGAGCGTTCTGTAAGTATAATCAGCAAAATAGATATTATATTATAAGTTGTACCTATTGCAAAAATTAAGCTTACCTTAGATGACTGGACTGGTTTTTCAGCCGCCGATGGCTCAGGCGTAGCGTCTACCGTGGCTGCTGTGGTCTTGCGGCCATTCGGCTTGCTGAAGCGACCTGATGAAATCACAAACGATCATTCGACTCACAATGCAATGATAAATCGATAAATCAATAAAACTACATAATACACAATCGTTTTTGCAACTATAACTACCTAGTAAAATAATCTTATCGAAGAAATATTAGCTACTAATGATAAGCAAATAGTAAAAGTCTATCACAGAATATGGCTGCTAACCGGTTACTAATATTACTTCATAGCAGTTTACAATTTTTAGATTTACGATTGATACGCTCGACGCACGCCCTGATTCCAAATTTTTTTATCATTTGGTACCTCCCAAGCTCGAAAACTTGAGGATTGAAATGATAGAATTTAATGAAGCGGGTATGTCTTATGTTTATTTGGTGTACACAGTAATAAGATTAAATTACAAAATTTTTGTCTAACAAATTTTTCCTCGCATTGGAGTGAACGTCTGGGGAAATAGCCTCCACCTTACAGAAGACCACATCAATTCTGTCGACGGATAGGGGCTAGACGGTTCCAGGGCTCTTCAGGGTAGGGGTTAGGGGAAAGGTCAGGGTAGGCAACGGCATTACATAGTGATACTTTGGTATAGCAAGCATGTCCAGTAGAAGATATGGTGGCCGCTTACCACCAGGAAGGCCTTATGCTTATTGGCCACACTTTTCAATAAAAAAAAACATTTTGACTCTTTTTGCTATTACAGTGTGAATGTGATGAATGAATCTCATTCCCAACCATGGGAAAAGGTCTGGGAAAAACACAATTAGGCTGTCCTATACAAATTCTTTAATAATCAGATTGTGTGCATAGGATTTATAATTCTTGGATGTTTCCATAGGACATTGTACTTAATACTTATTAAAAATATTTGTATTATTTCACTGTGGTCTTCTGAAAGGTGGAAGATACATGTCCTACAAGGTGAAGAAGAAAATCTGCAATGCTCTCCCTCTCACCTTTTACTTTGGTTTAAGGTTTAGATTCTTGATTGAATTTCTAAGAAAAAAGAACCAGTTCTACTTAATATGCAAAACAAATTGAACCTACAAGCTTCCTGGGTGTCGATTCTGCTAAGTTAAAGTGATAGTCATGTATCAATTTTGTTCCAGTAGTTTTTTATTTTTGGCACAGTTATTGTTAGCTTAGCAGAATCGACACCCTAAACTCCTTTCAATTAAACTTTAATCATGCAAAAATATAACACTCCTCTTAAGAAGATTAAAGCGTTTTCCCTTCACGTATGAATATAGTAATAATTAAATTACTCGAACTGAATTGGTAATAAATTCATTATACACATTTCCTAAAAGTTGTTTTTCGCAAAAAGCAAGTTCCAATTTCACTGTAATAAACAATCGCTTGGCAACATGAATATTTAAAGTAGACACTTTCGCAATGCATGTAAAAGGAGCTGTATAGAATTTAACTAACTTATTATAGTGAGTATACTTACTTTTCATGGGTCTTTCGAATTGGCAGATAATAATATTGGAATCCACTTTTTATGGATATTTACCCTAGTAATTATTCTCTGCCAAATTAGTTATTGTCATACTTATTTCTTATGTTTTCAAGCACACCATTTAATAAAAATCTGTTTAAGAAGTAGCAATACTGATCTTTTACTATTATTTACCGATAAAATTTCGTTATTGCGACCAAGGAGCCTGTAAAGGATCCGAACTGTCGGGCAGGAATAATAAACAAAAAACAATCGATCTAAAGTGTTTTAGATCGCTTTTCTGTATACTTACGAGTAAGTATGAAAACCTCCCTAATTTGATTTGGAAACCAAACTGTAAGAATGATGTTATTCAAATTTATTTCTTACCTCTCACTCTCGTGGAAGTTTCTTGTGGTGCTTCGGTGGCTGCGGACGTGGTAGAGACACGAGCCCTTGCTCCTGGGCGCCCCTTGAACCTCGAGGGGCGCGTGGAATGAGCGGCGGTCGTAGTCGTCGGCGCTGGCGTAGTCGTGGTAGTCGTAGTGGTTGTAGTTGTAGTGGTGGTGGTCGTCGGAGTAGTGGTCGGTGTGGTCACTTCTTCCGTCGTGCTCATAGCCTCCGTCGTCCAACCTTCAATCTCCGTCGTCGAACCGTCAAACATCATATCGCTCGTCGGATTTATCTCATTATTCAAGTTCTCGCCAGCCAAGTACGCATACAAATCCAACGCCACCTTCTCCATTGCAGTCATTGTAGTGTACTCAGTTGTATCCTGCTCGTAAGTAGTAGTCTGTTTGTAATCAGAAGGCAATTTAGAGTCGTCTGTTATCTCTTGATATTTTACTCCAACGGGAAGACTGTGTCCCTCTCGTACGGATTCTTTGGCATTTGAATCTTCTTTGGCAGCGGGCAATTCTTCGGCTTCAGGGATTTCTGTGGTAGTTCTAGATTCTGAGGAGTATCTTGAAGGTTGCTCTTTGTACTGTGACGGGATATCCCCAGAATGTGTCTTGAAGCTATCTAAATCAACCAACTCGGAGCTGGGACGTCTGAAAATTTTAATGAAACATTGGTATCGATTCTGGCGGGATTCTCTAAACTTAAAACTAAATTTAACATCAATCTCTCCTTTTCATTCCGTATAGAGAATGACAAGGATACACTGTTGTCAAATTTAAGTTTAGCTTTAGAGAATCATGCCAGAATCGACACCATTATCATGATTATCGACCTAAGATTCAGATATGTCAATATAATATTTGGACGGACTAAACTATACATATTATTTCTGAGGATCACTTATGACATTACTATTTCAGGACTATTAGAAATATATAATTTTGAGAATGTACATATACATACAATAATATATACATATAATATACATTACCTGATGTGTGCTCTAGTTCTGCTTCTAGTTTGGCCACTAGATTCATCAGCTGTGTTATCGACATGAGGACGGCCGCGATGCCTTATGGTTTCTGTTGATGATTCAGGAGCGAAGGTTGTTGTAGTAGCGGCGGCAATATAACGGCCCCGAGGAGGGAAGCGAGTGCTTGAAGGCAATCTGCAAGATAAAATTTAAATAATTTCGTATAAAAAGAAACAGGCTGCAATAAATTAAGAACAGAAATAAAATCAAGTATTAAGCTACAGCCGTGCGAATCTCGGGTGTTTGATAGTTTATGATATCTTAACATGTAACAAAAAAAAATTGAAAAGTTTAGATTTTTTTTCGATGTTTAAGCTGACCCTGTACCTCTCCTTAGTTCCCCTGGCCCTCTAAAATTTCAAAAATTGGATAACGGACGTCCCAATTTTAAATTTTGCGGATAATTCCATGGAATTCAGACTGACTCGAACCACGTTAAGGATTCCAACGGTGTATCTATCAAACACAATATTGAAAATACTAGAATCGGAGCTTAAGCGATATAAAAAAGGGTGATACGGAATAACAAACTTTACCTGTCTTCTTCGATTTCTTCTTCAACTGGGGCTGGTGTGAGATTACGACCCCTTGTACGACCTCTGCTAGTTGTTGTTGCAGGAAGAATTTCGTTCTGTGTTTCAGGTGTAGCCACTGTGGTAGTAGCTGATCTGTCAATGGTACTGTACCGATTTCTTGGCTTTTCTTTAGGGATCTGGTTTTCAGTTTCAACTTTTTGTGGGCCATCATGAGAGTTACGTACTGGAGCAGCAGTTGAGGAAGCTTTTTCTTTGCCATCTTTCTTGCCACCCTCTTCTTCATCATAATAGTAGTAAATGTACTCGTATTCATAGTCTTGTCCATTAGGACCTTTTTTTATTTGAATTCGAGAATGTTGTTTTTGTTCTGATCCAGCAGTTTCAAGTTGTACATTGGATGATAAGAGGCCACTGTTGATGTCGTCAATAGTGTCGAAATTAATAGGAATGTAGTCAAAGCCTTTCGCGGGTGCGGGCGGAGCAGTGGTCAAGACAGGTTTCTGAGTAGTTGTACCGAGTGAACTTACCAGTTTCCCGGATTCAGACATAGCTTCAAGGGCGACAGCCATTTTTGGATTCGTCTCGACATCCTTAAGATTTTCCTTTATCTTGATATCTTCAATCTTTGACACAGGAACATCAATTTCAATGGAATCTGATTTGAGCTTATGTCCTTTTTTAAAAACAGCTTTCTTATCTTCCTCGATTGAGACAATTCCTTCCGTAGGGTGTCTAGGTTTTCCACTGTGTAATTTTTTTGTTATTTTTTCAATACCCTCATCGGGTTTGATAATACGGTGGTGTGGATGCTTCTCAGGTATTTTATGCGACGTCTCATAACTTCTCAGAGGAGTTTGTTGCCCCGAGCTAACGAGTACAAATTCTTGTCCTTGTCTGGGCTGTGTGATAATATCTACGTCAGCATTTATCCGGTAGAATGCACAGACTAATAAAAATCTGTAACAAAGAAAACGAGTTATAAGATTATGTGCGTAGATTATAATGCTATTATTACGAAAGTAGAGAGTCGGTGCTTCACAATGAATCAGCAGGAACATGCTATGCGCCTACGATCTTTGCGATCTAAGCTGAAAACAAGGAGCACTGACTCATCTATTGTCTGCATTTCGTCACTGCATTTTCAACAAACATAGTGTAGGTATCCGACGCATTTGCATTTCAAAACAGATTTTGTAGCGGCGCGTTATTTAGTATCGATGAAGGCCTAATGTGTGTATGTGCGCGTTTTTAACTCTATTTTTGTAATTTGTTTCGTAACATTAAGTAGTTGCATTTGCATGGCCTATCAATGTATAGTTTATTTGACACAGATACACGATGGAGCGCAAAGAAGTGGTGTGAAAACATACCAGACGGCTGCAAAACGAGCATTGTCGATTGCAATATACATAGTTGCAAGTGCGATGTGGTCGTGAGAAATTGTCAGTGAAAAACGGAACGTGGGTGTATTACGGGTGTTGATTCCACGAGTGCAGATCGATGAAGCAACACATCACGGCGATCACTTTCGCTTCGAGCGCTCTCTCAGCGTCAGCGAGCGCGTCACGGCGGTCGGTACGCACCACAAAAACGTACCGGCCAGCATCACACCGCTATTGTTATTTATCTTCGAGGAAATTACGTTAGCCGCTACCACAAAAACTAACTTGTGATTTTAATAACAAGGAATAAAAACGAAAATAATTTGTTTGTGCTTTACTTATTTCATATTATTAATATACAAGAGAAAAATCATTATCATTAAAATTAAAAATTACTGTTTTGACTAATGTTACCTACGTTTTAACAGTGAACGTCAAATTGCTACAAACCAATAATATGTTTACAACTGCGTTTATTTTATTTCCCCACTTTTAATTTAAGCTCAGCATGAGGACCGCAGTAACGGAACGCGTTTTTATAACCGGATACTTAGGATTTATGTTATGTTATGTACTATGAAAATGCTATAGCTACAACTCACTACTATATTTTCTTTGTAGTAGCAAAACACTACACTAAGTACATTTCTTATTACAATTTCGTTTTGCTAAAGACTTTGTGAAGGAGTTTATGAGTCATGAGCAACGGAGATACGGTATTATTATTTTTAATTCAAACATGTTTTTCTAAACCTTCGTTTAATGTTTCAAAGAATCACAATATAGTAAATGAAGAACTTTTTATTATAAACAGATTCAAAAACTTTAAACTTATTTTGACAGTTAAATTGGCACGAATTACGTTTGTCTATAAGAAGAAGATTAACTTTGTAGTTAAAGTTTAATGAATTATATTATCCACATATAGGTGAAAATGATCAAGAAAACAGACATTGAAGTCCGTGTATGTATTTCCTCGGTACAGAGCAACTGGTCTATTACCGGTTCAATTTCACTAGCCTAAGGTCGGTGCTGGAGCAAGGCTATGTGAGTGGCAGCCAGCCTGAACTGCGGCTACGAACTACGTATTAGCGAGAAATAACACAAGGCAGTAATTTTTATGTTTTAACAACTACTTCATATCCTTCCTCTTGTAGTTGACGAAACTTCATATCATAACGCTTAAAAAATAAACAACCATAAAAAACAATTAAGTAAAGTTATTGTAAAATGTGTAATTTTTAAGTTAAAACTATTGGGTAATAGCTGAGTACTTTAATACTATTTTTGAATACATATATATTTGGCCCTCTGTGTTTTAAAAGCAGAAAAGAATAGATATTCATTAAAAAAAAGTTTGAATAAATCTTAGCATATTAGCGTTAGTCCTAAGTACAGTCATTTGGTGAGAAATATAGTGGTTACCTGGAAAGTTTTCCGGGAGTTTTGCAAAAATACGAGGTGGCAAAGTCAAAATTCGGAAAGAGCACCTCAAAATCTACAAAATTACCAAATTTCAAAACTCCCGGAAAACTTCCCATGTAAAACAACCAAATGACTGTATTAATTCACAAAGACTATCAAACAAAGACCAATTAATTAGATTTTGAGATAGACCCTGTAGCATAAAAAGAAAAAAATATCGTCCCCTTCTCATCTATAAGACCCCCATAAAATTATTTAATTGAATATATAACTAAATATTCGGTTTGGGCAAGCATTTTTCATAATATACCAAAATTTGAGTTTCCGTTTACGATTTAGACACCCGTAAAAGCGGACAGACGGCAAAGTGGCAGCAATAGGGTTCCGTTTTTACCCTAAGAGTACGGAACCCTAAAAATTAACTGTTGTTTGTAATTTTTGTGTTCAGTACAAACAACAATGATGTAAATAGTAACTGAAAATTAAGCTTTCTCCTTGGTTAGAAGCAAAAAACTTAAACGAGTGACATTATTTTTTCCAAAGTAGCGTGTGCCGAAGAGAATGCTGTTATCCACGCGGAATCATTGCATTAAAATGTCTGCCATAAAACAATTAAATAACAGTGTATTGCCAATTTGTACTTGTACTTTCCCTTTCGAGTCTTGAATAGACATTGAAATAAAAATTTTAGGACCAATTCAAGACCACGAAACGTGCCTATTTTTTTAATACTTCTGTTATATTGAAATGTAATCTAATGTTAAAAACATGGTATGCCCATAATAGTTATTGCACTGAAACGTAACCAATAGTTAATACAATTATTATTATTATAGGAAGTTGTTTTTAAATTGACTATTAAAAAGTTAACATCGTCAAATTAAGAATAAGGTATTAAACCGAACCTGTTGTAAGATTGGCAAGTGGTACCTTGGGTTACATTGGCGTCTCTGGCTTGGGGATGTAGTGCTATCTGGTTACGAAATCAGGGTTCGATAACCGGGATCCGCGTGACAGCTAAGAGACACGAGAGACGGCGAACATCGTGACAATATTAATCGTCAAACTTTGGAGTTTTTACCCGATGTAAGTACTTGTATGGTGCAGGAATTTAAGGAAATTCAAATATAAATTTGATTTTGTTTGTTGGGGTTGTGTGATACAGTATCATAGTTTAAAGAAACATGAGGTAGTTTTTTTTCTCTGAAGGTACCTATGAATTTTAAAGTTTTAAATGAAGATCGTAGGACTTATAATTCGATTTAGTTCGTCCTCTGTTATGATCTTAACTTCTTCCGGTTAACTTCCTACGATTAAAAATGTAGAAAAAGATTATTTTTAATTTTAGTAGTAGCTATTTTTTTATCTTGAACATAAACATTTAGTAAGTATTTCATTAACCCTAGAACTAACTTGTGATTATTAAAATTTATTTAACTGACATTTCAATGCAATAAGCCCTTAATAAATACTAACTGAATCCTTATTTATATAAGTAGATGTAAACTCTGTTTGACTCTGTTAACATATTTTAGGAATAAAAATGGTATACCTTCCTACTTACTTACACTTTTATACCAAATATGAACGGTATAAATATCGCGAGTATTGTCATGTGGTTTTAACATAACATCATTGATATAGGTACCAAACCGTAGTATTACTGCGTGCAATTTTTAAGACATTTGCTACTGTATGTACTATACTCTAAAGAGCGTTTTTTTTTGTATGTGGAGCGGAACAAATAAATACATATATAAGCCGAGCTTTACTATAACTACAATTGGCACGCGAACGCCATTGTCACAACTTGCAACATGTACGCATTTGACACGGAAAACAAAACTAATTTCACATTTGAAATAATACTTTATGAGTTTACCCCACATCTATTAGTCAAACCACTTAGCAAGGCTAAACTCATTACACTTCTTAATTGAATTACACGTTAAATTATTCGAATAACTACCATTTCGATATACCCAGCCGCAGCGGACTGCGACCGGAGCGCATTGTGGTCATGTCATTGTTCTGTTCGCTGAGAATGACCATGAAATCACGGATTTACCTATTGATAAAAAGGAGTTTACACCAATGATAACATTGAACAACTTTAAAAATAACTTTTATTTTTATACTTGGCTACCTGTATATATGAATGTCTACTCGAGAATGGCCTGAGGTCAACCGACAGACGTCTACGTGGATAATTTGCGGTTGGGGCGGATTGTGCGTTGAATAGTTCAATACTATTCACTTGCATTTTCAATGAACTACTACTGTCTTTTAGCTCACCTAATGTAATATGTGATAGGTAATCAAAATATTACTCTTTACTTGACTTGAGCATTACTACAATATTTATCATATCATTCTGTTTTGTATAATAAATCTAGCATTTTATTTAGTAAAAATAATCACCATCACAATTTAATAAAATTGTTATATTTGAAGAAGCATTGTTCATTGTATGTTCGTATTTACAATAGCTTCATTTTTACGCGTATTTTCAATTAAAAATTACTGAAAGGAAATGAAAAATAAAAGAAATACCAATCAATCAAAAAATTTTAACATAGCGATTTGGCTGAAAGTTTAAGTCATCCTGCTCTATCAATGTAAGCTGTCGTGGTGCTACGATCGTAGTAACTACTTCAAAGTCATCTTTACTAATATTAAAAAGTGGTAAACTTTGTGAAATTGTAGTTGTAGTACTCTAAATCTTACGAACTGATTTTGAAAATTGTTTTACCTATAGATATCCACTTTATTTAAGAGTGTCATTGGCTATATATTAGAACAAAAATAAAAGACTAATAGTGATAAATTTGACAGAGGAGCTCGATGGCGCAAGTGGTTAGCGCGATCGGCTGCGATCGTTGAAGTTGAGCAGCTTTCGCAGTGGTCGGTCATTGGATGGGTGACCAAAAATTTATTATCTCGAGTTCCTCCGTGCTTCGGAAGGCACGTTAAGCCGTTGGTCCCAGCTGCATCTGCAGTCGTTAGCACCCACCAATCCGCACTGGGCCAGCGTGGTGGGTCGTGGCCCAATCTCCCTGTTCCATCCATAGCGAAGGCATGTGCTCCAGCAGTGGGGACATTGATGGGCTGATGATGATGATGATGAGTGATAAATTAAAATCTTTTAAC